CTGAAATAATGATTTACTGTATTTTTCGGACTATAAGCCGCACCGGACTATAAGCCGCACCTCCAACATAAAAAAAAACAGTACACCCAAAATTGTCGTCAAAAAGTGAATTTAACATCAAAAGAGAAAAAGCAAACCTTTAGGAATTAAAGTTCAGAGGAATACGGTTCATTTAACTGACCTTATTTTGGTAGTTTTCTTTAACAGTTTCTGATCCAACAAAACGTCTCATTCATCGTCCTCCGGTGCACTGAAACCATGGAAGTCCTCCTCTTCAGTGTCGGAGTTAAACAAGCTGAGAAAAGCTGCGTCACACAGCGGTATCTGTTCAGTGTCGGAGTTAAACAAGCTGAGAAAAGCTGCGTCACACAGCGGTATCTGTTGTCCTTTAACGCTGGCTCTGAAGCTGTGGTGCCCTCTTCACATAGCAGTCCAGCCTTTCGGAACCCATTGGTGATGGTGGACTCATTCACTCTGCTCCACGCTGTTAGGATCCACTGGCAGACATCAGAAAATGACGCTCTTCACATTCGGCCAGTTTTTGTGAATGATTTATCCCCGTCAGTCATCCAAGCCTCCCATTCAGCCCTGAGTGCTGCTTTAAATGCACGATTCACACTGATGTCCAGGGGTTGCAAAAGCTTTATTGTACCTCCAGGAATAACAGCAGGAACTGAGTTTGTTTTCTTGATGGCTGCTTTCACCGAATCCGTGAAGTGGGCCCACATACTGTCCAATATCGTGTCTGTCGAAGATCCGTCATGTCGTGTCTGCTATTAGCTAAAACAAAATGGCGCTACACCTCTGGCTAAGCTGGCAGTATGGTCGCTCAGCTGTGGACCGGTCGACGCGCCGTCACGTGATTGTTCAGCATTTGTTTTCGCACTGACCTTTCATAGTTCCCCCGAGAAACCCCGAGCCGGGCTGCTGGGAAAGCCCTCCCGCTCCAGCATACGTCACTGTATGGGATTCCTTCCCCGGGGAGTGCAATGCGGGAAAAAAAGTCCGTGGCTCTTCACTCGAGGTTTATCCACAAACTGGTCCTGGATTAAGCTCCAAAGTTTTTATCAGTCAGATTCCAACGTGAAAAATGTCTGCTTTATCCCCTTTTATGAGTTTTTGGCCATTGACTATCTTTAAATCGCTGCTTCCTGGTACAACAGTCGTCTCTGGAAGAGATCGCTTTTTTCTTCTTTTTTTTCCTTTCTTTTTTTGAAGCGAGTTGTTGAAACAAATGGAGCATAAGAGCCCCCTGGTGGCTGAAGAAAAAAATCCACGTATAAGCCGCACCGGACTATAAGCCGAATGGTTCAAAGTTCAGGAAAAAAGTTGCGGCTTATAGTCCGAAAAATACGGTAATTAAAAACAGATATTAAGCTAAAATGTGGTATGGTAGTAGCTGAGAGCTGTCCCTAACTTGAACTTCAAGAGCTAACTGATTGAGAAAGATGGGATTTTAAGATGTTGCCAATACATATTGAAGTCAACCCTTTCTTTTTGTCTGCAAATTATCTCATGACGAACCAGCTGGTTTTTAGTGAAATTTCCAGAAAATAATCACTGAATGTAGTTCTAATGAACTTCTGGATTCAACCCAATTCCATTTCACAATGTCTTGAAATGGTGGCAAATTGTTTGCTTTGTATAATAAAAATAAAGCACTTGTGATTATTTCATGCTTTGAGCTTTGACAAAGTGCTTCTGATGCTAATATTTCCAGGAATTTTAAATAAAATGGCCACAAGTTAGGTTAGAGTTCTGACTCTGACTTCTACTTTGTAAAATACCATTATTAGGACATATTACCGTAACGCTGCATGCCTTCAGAACAGCTTCATTTAGTCTCAGCCTGATTTAATGTTGCTTTTCAGCTCTCCACTTTACACTAATGCAAGAGGATTTCAGCCTTCAGACGTGCACTTTAGAGCCCAGTTTCCTCCCTCTCACAGATGTTTTTGCCCTACATGTCACTGTACTCACCGTTCAGATTGAAACAGTAGCCTGGAGGAGTCTGCGGCCATGGCTCCTTCCATCTGTGTCCCAGCAATGAACCCTCTTTCAAAGTCACTCAGATCCTCTCGTCTTTTCATTTTCAGACTAAATTAACTGGGTGTGATCAGCTTGTGTATAATGGCCAGAGAATGAATGAACGGGAACTGTTTATTAAAGTTTGAAAAGGTCAAATGTTAAAATGTTACCGTTGTCTTTCTCTCAACAATTTTGCATCCCATTGTCCTAATTTTATTTTAAATCATAGACATTTATGTAATTGCTTACGGTTTAGCCAATTTTGCGTTTTATGTTGTTTATTAAGGGGAATAACGCACATTAATAAACATGGATACACCCCCGATCTGGTTTCATCCATTATAGGTTTTTATTGTAAGACCCTTCTGTATTTCCACTGGCAGTGTTCATGCAGGGTCTTAAAAAGTCTAAAAAAGTCTAAAATTTGAAAATCAAAATTTTAGACCTAAAAAAGTCTTAAAAATTCCCAGATTTTCATCCAAGGTCTTACGTTTAACTGTGTCAAGTCTTAATTTTTTTTTAAACTTTCGATCATTCCTGAGAAGAGTTGGCCGCATAAATAAAGTGCCGTAATCAGAGGTTGACATGACGTGTCTTCATGAAGTGCTAAATTTGCCACAGGTCATGTTACATGGTTTAACTACAAATCCTGTGATAACTGCAGGCAAAAATTAGCACAGTTTACTTCCATATTTTTGACCTCTTTGCCCCTACATACAACAGCTTGTTCACCTGCAAAAAACAAACAAACAAACAAACAAACAAAAAGAAAAAAACAGAAGTTCAGTCATGTCCACTGCTTGAGGTTTAAACATTGGAAAGTGTGTTTTCAATGAGACTTGGCTTGAAATCAGTGATTTTTACACTCAGTTGGAAGCGGTCCACAGCAGTCGATATGAAGGTCTCATAGATATGAAGGTTTGATTAAAAATAATTTAGTGTTCTTGTATTAAAATTAAATATTCTTTAATAGCTAAATTGATAGCAGTTAAATGTTTCTATTTTACAATTTCTGGGACCATTTGAATGTTTCTGTTAATGCATAGGTTTGGTCTTAAATGTCATTCTTAATGGTCTTAAAAGGCATTTAAAAGGTCTTAAATTTAACTTACTGAAACCTGCATGAACACTGACTGGCCAAGATTTGGTGATGTTTTTACTAAAAAAAAAAACAACAAAAAAAACGAAACGATAAACTCATAACAACGTGAATGACTATTTAAAGTTGCGACTCAATAAGTCAAGTCATAACTGGGGGCTCGTCCAGGATTTGCACTTGGGAATTCTTGTATTCATTTTTGACTCGTATTTATGTTGCAAGCCATCTAATTAGGTCTCAGAATAGACTTCATTCACACAAAGTTTCTAGTTTTAAGTGTTAAATAAGTAATACACACACACACACACACACACACACACACAC